GACTCAAAAAATAAAAAGTCAAGACAAAAACCACATTTTTTCCTAAAAACAATATCAAATCTTCGCTTATTATTTTTTTTGAGTTTTAAGAGCTGAGTCGTTTCAACTGAAAAAAATTGTATGCCCATTTTACGCTGCACAATCTCATTTTTCTAATATACAGGGTGATTCACCAAAGAACGACAAAATTCGAATCCTGCGCAATGCGACCTTCCAATCCCAGTTTTCCCACTCTAGTGACTTTCTCTGCTTAAAGTCAAATTCTTGACTCATTTGTCTAATTTTGAAAATTAGTATTGTTTTATTAAACCACGTGTGAGAAACGAAGGACTCGCCTTAATCGTCTTGTGTCATTTGTGTGACCCCTGACTAATCCCAAGCACCCATTTTTATCGAATTGTTCGAATTGTGAATGTAATGAGAAAATCCGGTGCAGTTGCGAATAATCAATGCACTAATAAATAGCGAGTAATGGATCGCCCGGAGCGCTCCGGTATATAAATGAAATAATAGATAGGTGCCCAGGTGGTCGAGAATAACAAATTGTGGAGACCGTTTGTCTGTTCTAACACGGCCTGGGGCGCTCTTGCGAGATGAAAGCCAAGCAAATCGGCAAAAAACTAAGCCATGTGGGATTTTTAATGCCTTCATCGGGATTAACCGGATTCAAAATTCGACACAGGTGTGCGAGATTTTAAATGATTTAGTTTAATTACAGAACGAAATTTAATTAACAAACAAATTTGAGCTCCATGTCGAAAAATCAATACTTTGTTCAAAATTAAATGCCAAGTCATTGCATTTCATTGTTATTATGTATTGTCATTGTTGATTGCAATGTCAGGTCGAAAATTGGCGTTAATTACGATTTTATAGTTTATTTATAAATCGGTTAAAAATGAATGGAGACCAGCTGAAAGTCTGAAATTCATCAAATCTTCAGTTATTTAACTTTTTCATGAGTTTTTTGCGCCGAAAATCAATCCACTTTTATTATTCATTGGTCTGAGCCAGTGGCCAGAAAAAGCAAAAACTTCAAACTTGATCTAATATTAATAAATTAGAAATTATAATTCGAGAGGAGCAAAATCAGGTTTTGCTCGATCTAAAAAACTTGCAAAATGAAGCAATCTAATTGATATTGTCATTTCAAAATTTATTTTTTGCGAAAAGTAGAAAAAAGTCTCGGCAAGCTTACCTGAGTCACCCTGTATGTAAATATTTAAAGTATGTGAAGTTAATTCCTTTTATTTCATCAAAATGTAATTGAGACTTATTTAATACAGAATGATTCAACAAAGAAGACGAAACTTGACAAAATAACAAGTAAAAAATTAAATATAAATTTTCTAAATCGTTCTATAAGTCAATATTTAATTATTAAAAATGTAAAGAGTGATTCATTACAAACTGAACTTAAAAATGGTGTACTTAGACAGTACTCTCCACTGAATCACTATGTACAATATAATTTTCGTGAAATTTTTGCTATTATTAAAACTTGTTTTAATTAACTACAAGCCAATACAGGATGAATCAGAAAGAAATGACAAAAACTTGTCATTTGGTTTATTTTAAAATAATAGTGAATCTAAGCATCAAAAATTTGTTTTTTTGCGAAAACAACAAAATAATAATCGGCAAGCATAGCTGAGTCACCTTATATATTAAACACAAATATTTTTCCCATTTCTTTTGCTGTTTTTAAAGTTATTTAAAATTTGTTCCTGTTATTTCATCAAAATTCAATAATTGACACATATTTAATACAGGATGACTCAAAAAAGTAGATAAAATACCAAGATTTGATTTTTTCTATAATTCGTCAATATGTATTTAATTATTCAATAATATGATGATCTAATAATAATAAATTAGATATTATAATTCGAGAGGAGCAAAATCCAGGTTTGGCTCGATCTAAAAAAAACTTGCAAAATGAAACAAATCTAATTAATATAGTGATTCAATGACAATATCAATCAAAATTTGTTTTTTGCGAAAACTACAAAAAAGTCTCGGCAAGCTTACCTGAGTCACCCTGTATGTAAATATTTTTTTTGTGGGTTTTGATGTTATTAAAAGTTAATTCCTTTTATTTCATTAATTAATTGAGACTTATTTAAAACAGAATGATTCAACAAAGAAGGCAAAACTTGACAAAATAACAAGTAAAAAAATTAAATATAATTTAGTCTTTTTTCTATATCGTTCTATAAGTCAATATTTAATTATTAAAAAATGTAAAGAGTGATTCATAAACTGAACTTAAAAATGGTTGACTTAGACAGTACTCTCCACTGAATCACTATGTACAACATAATTTTCGTGAAATTTTTGCTATTATTAAAACTTGTTTTAACTAACTACAAGCTAATACAGGATGAATCTGAAAGAAATGACAAAAACTTGTCATTTGGTTTATTTTAAAATAATAGTGAATCTAAGCATCAAAAATTTGTTTTTTTTGCGAAAACAACAAAATAATAATCGGCAAGCATAGCTGAGTCACCCTATATATTAAACACAAATATTTTTCCCATTTCTTTTGCTGTTTTTAAAGTTATTTAAAATTTGTTCCTCTTATTTCATCAAAATTCATGTATAATTGACACATACTTAATACAGTATGATGCAACAAAGTAGATAAAAAAAATAAATTAGAAATTATAATTCAAGAGGAGCAAAAACTTGCAAAAATAAGCAAGTCTAATTGAATCACCCTGTACAAAAAAACTTGTCAAGAAAAGTGACAATATCTATTTTTTTGCGAAAAACTTCTAAAAAGTCTTGCAAGTTCACCTGAGTCACCCTGTATGTACATTACATGTAAATATTTTTCGCATTTTTGTGATTTTTGATGTTGTTAAAAATTAATTCCTTTTATTTCCGCAAAATTCAATTGAGACATATTTAATACAAAATGATTCAACAAAGAAGACAAAACTTGACAAAATAATAATTAAAAAAAGTAGATATAATTTTGATTTTTTCTAAATCGTTCCATAAGTCGTCAATATCCAATTATTAAAAAATGTAGAGTGATTCAGTACAAAGTGAACTTAAAAATGGATGGATTTAATACAAACTGCTTGACTTAAGACGGTACCCTATACTGAATCACTCTGTACAAAATAATGTTCGTGAAATTTTTGCTATTATTGAAACTTGTTTTGTCACAATTGCCTGAATTTAACTAACTACAAGCTAATACAGGATGAATCAAAAGAAAATGACAAAAACTTGTCATTTGGTTTATTTTAAAATAATAGTGAACCTAAGCATCAAAAATTTGTTTTTTTTTGCAAAAACAACAAAATAATAATCGGCAAACTTAGCTGAGTCATATTAAACATAATTATTTATCCCATTCCTTTTTCAGTTTTTAAAGTTATTAAAATTTGTTTCTCGTATTTCATTAAAATTCAATAATTGACACATATTTAATACAGGATGAGTCAACAAAGTAGATAAAATCACAAGATTAGATTTTTTATAATTCGTCAATAAGTATTTAATTATTCAGTAATATAGAGAGTGATTCAGTATAAACTAAACTTATATTGATCTTGTTTGACAGTACTCTCCACTGAATCACTTTGTACAATATAATTTTCGTGAAATTTTTGCTATCATTGCAGCTTTTTTGTCACAACTGCCTGAATTTAACTACAACCTGCTAATACAGGATGAATCAGAAGGAAATAACAAAAACTTGACATTTAGTTTATTTTAAAATAATAGAGAACCTAAGCAAAAGAGTTTTCGTCATGAAAATTTGTTTTTTGCGAAAAAGAGAAAATAATAATCGGCAAGCTTAGCTGAGTCACCCTATACATAAATAAATATTTTTCCCGTTTTTTTGCAGTTTTTGAAGCTATTTCAAATTTGTTCCTCTTATTTTATCAAAATTCAATTGACACATATTTAAATACAGCATGATTCAACAAAGATTAGATTTTTTCTATAATTCGTCAATATTTAATTATTCGATAGAGTGATTCAGTACAAAATGAACTTATATTTATCTTAAAAATGGATGAATAAAAAAAACTTCTTGACTTAGACAGTACTCTCCACTGAATCACTCTATATAATATAATTTTCGTAAAATTTTTCCATAATTGCCTGACTTTAATTAACTACAGGGTGACTCAAAAAAAAAGACAAAATCATGTCTTTTCTGAAAAAAAAAATTGTTTAATAGTAAATCTGAGCAAGAAAATTTCTCGTCATTTTAACTAACTCACCCTGTACAAGTACACGGATACTAAACTAATACAGGGTGAGTCAACAAAACAGATACATAAAACAATGATTTAGTAAACTTGACGTATTATTTATATTAAATTTGGAAGAGTTGCTAGTAATCTTAGTTGCATCATCGTGTACATAAAAACTGGCTATGTTTATAGTAATTTTTGGGCATTAGCAAATTCAAAAAATCTGAAACTTTGTGTGAAAGTGTCAAATTTCTTAATTTATTTATGTACAGGGTGTTTCAGAATAGATTACTGTCTATTTTTTGTTTGTTTATATTTTTGCCAACGCGTTTTGAGTCGTCTTGCTTGAATCATCGTGTGCAAGTGAAGTATTTCGAGAATTTTTTTATTGGCTATTGTGCTCGAGATGAAAGTGAAACGATTATTATTGTAATAAATTGTGAAAGAATTTCAGCGAAATTTTTCAGGTTTTTGGTCCACTCTGTGTCAAACCCAACCTTTCGACCGCCTTGTGGTCTAGTGTTCGGTTTAAAAATCCAAATAGCAAGGTCTAGCGTAAGAATGGTGAAGGTTCAGCAAATAATGATCGAATTGTTGTAAAATAACTCTCGCGCCTCCGGTGAATCCCTGAAACCTGAAAATCTCCCATCTTCGACACGTGTCATGAAAAGAAGAGGTCAACAATACACCCAATGTGATAAAAGAAGTGTCGGCCCATTCGACCTTGGCGCCGAAAATAGCCCAAACCATGGGAGAGTAAAACGCACAAAAACTTACCATGTGTTTAAAAATCCCACTGGGTCAGATCTCGAGGCTGTTGCGGAGCGATTTGTTGTCGGAATAATTGTTATTGCCACTGTCACGTGATCTCAAATGTTCAAAACACCAGAAACCGCGGTTACTGGGTTATTTTTAAACTCGCGATTATTTGCACTGCGATAAACGAAAAAGTTTTATTACAACGCCAACATCACTTGAAAAAAAAACAACCAAACCACTGAAGCCCTTCTTCGTCTTCTTATCACACACTTATTTGTAAACACTACGATTTTATTATAACACGAGACACTTCTTCTTCTTCTTGATGAAGGAAGGGAAAAGAAAGAAACTAGTCCGATTTTTTATGCGAGGCCCTCTTGGTCTTTGGTAGAAGAACGCGAAGCAGCGAGCGTGTCTTTGAACTTAATATCGCGAACTCTTCGAATGTGACTGCGACTACGATATACAAACCAGCCTGTTGAATGTGTGCTTTAACGTGGATGGAGGATGGTAGCTACATCTTGTAGTGGTCAACATGTTGGGCGACAAAAAATCAAAGTAGAGGCGACATCTACCATCTGGTAGCGGAAGCTGCGAAAACGACGAGAAGAAATCCACACGAGCAAAGTTATGCAACCACAAAAACATATAGTTTATGTTATATAACCATTTTGATTCAATAATGATTAAAATTTGTGCAAAAAAATATGTTTCAACAGGGACATGCTGTATAGTTGAAAATAATTTCGAGCGATCTATCAACTTCCTACATAAATTTTAAAATTTTTAGTCACCCTATATATTATACTTCTGGTACTATTAAACATTAATTCAAACAAACAAATTCACTTTAAAATTTTAATTAAGCAAGATTATAGTTAGAGAAGATGATTGATCGTAAATTTGAGTTATTATTGTAGTTTGTTTTAAAGCTTAGCTTTACCAGTAATCTCCACTGACTCACCCTGTACATAAAAAGTACATTTGTTAACTTGAAAAAAAATGTGTACAACTAATACCAATTCCAAAAGAAATCTAGTAATTCTAATAATCCATCGAAATTCCATTGTAAGTCCAACATAATTATCGTAAATCCTAAATGAGTCCTGTAATTCCAAATTTAATGTAATTTTTAAAAGAAATTATCTTTGATAATTTAAAAATGAGTTCCAGTAATTACAGACAATTCCAGTAATTTCAATAATCCATCGTATTTCCATAGTTTTTTTATTAATTCCTATAATTACAAAATAATTTCTCTAATTCTAAATTATATTTTTCTACGTCTTTACGTTTATTATCTCATGTTCATATTTAAAAAATGCCAATTTGAGACTTTTCATGATAAAATAAAAAGGTACTTATACAGGGTGCGCCAGAGGACACCAGGAACATGAAAAAAAATGTTTAAAAAATTTTATCTAGAAAAATTTCGAAGTTATATAACCGAAAATGGTACAACAATGATTAAAATTGTTGTTTAGTTGAAAATAATTTCGAGCGATCTATCAACTTCCTGTATAAATTTTTAAATTTTAAGTCACCCTATATATTATTTTGGTGGTGTTTAATACTTCTGGTATTATTAAAGATTAATTAATAAAAAAACACGTAAAATGAGTTTGTTCTAGCGCACCCTGTATTTCAAATTCACTTTAAAATTTTAATTAAGCAAGATTATACATAGAAGGTTTACGTTTATTATCTCTTATTCATTTTTAAAAAATTCAAATTTGAGAACTTTTATGATAAAATAAAAAGGTACTTATACAGGATGCGCCAGAACTATTATTATATTATTATCAAAGATAAAGTTTGTAAAACGAGCTGAGCGTGAGTTTTTTAGTTATTTGACTATATAAAGTCTACTTTGATAAGGTTAAGTAATATTTATATTTTTACACTCTTACGTTTCTTTTTTTTTTAGACATATGCTTACGTTTTCACGTAATTTTTTTATTTTTTTTACATTTTTTTACGTACGAGTTAATTTTGATTCAAAATATGTATCTCATGATTACATACTGCCTAGACATTATTTGATAACAAAATTTTCACAAAAATCCAGCAATTTCATAAAAAATCAAGTACAATTCACAAATAATTTAAGTAATTTAAATAATCCCAACAAAATTATAATAATTGCAAATATTTCCAAGCAATTTCGATTAAATTTATATAAATTGTACAACTAATTACAGAGTCAACGGCCCCTCAAAATTTTTCAAGTATTTTTTTGATATTTGTCGAAACTTGAGTTAAAAATTTCTAAAATTCTAAAATTCAGATAATTTAGATTAAATACAAGGTGATTCAAAAAAGCAAAAGTTTCCGAAAGATCATTCTTTGTGAATTTTTTTGTATAGGTTTTATAACAATTTGAACGAATAAAAATATATTAATTTGACACAATTGAATTATCGTTTTAGAAATATTGAATTCAAAAAAATCAGATTTTAATTTAATTTATAAACTTTCTTTTTATCATTTAATTAAAAAAAAATACAAATAATTTCCCTTTTAGCTGTTTGACAACTAAATATCGATTGACTATTAATGTTTATAACAAAAAAATCTATTGGTATTACTGAATTGGTAATTTGGCAGGGTTGCCAACCTAAAATTTTAAATTTGACACCGACTTAAAAAATCACAATCATTTTTGGTGTCATTTTATCGTTTTTAATTTTTTGTGTTTTGCTACTTTTTAATTAATTTTTTATGATACCACAGTTTTATTAATTTAGCAGGTAATTAATCAATAACTTAGAAGAAAAAATATAATTTGGCTATTCGTATGTTTAATTAATTGCCAGTGTGCTTTGATCAAAAGAATAATGCCTCCATTTGAGTAATAATTAATCAAAAAATTGTTTCTATAAGCCTGAAAATGCGAGGTTATTGCTTAGTTAATTATGGACTTCTCGGAGAAAAGACCATTCAAAGGTAAATACAAATTGGGAAAATTTAAATAAACCTGAAATTTTTTAGACGATCCTTTATGGATCATCCGTTTGCTAACTGTGGATACCTTATCCAAAAACATTTCAAAATTCTTAATGGCCCTAGTTTTAACATTTCTTGTAATTGTTCAAATCATCCAAATCTACTATCATTGCTTTATCCTAACGTTCCACGATTTTATCAAATACGGTCCTGTTTTTTTCTCAATGTTTTACGTAATATTTAACGAAAAAAAGTCTCAAAACTAAATTAAAAATTTCAGGTGATTCTCAGTATCAGTGCTATGCTTTTTGGAGGTGATATAGTGACTAGAATCTTGTCAAAGTTCGACAGATGGGCTGTTGACTCCTTGGAAAACCGAATCCTTCCCGAAATCAAAACCGAATCCTTTTATTGCAACATTTTCGTCATCATTAATCTAATCCTGACCCTGATTCCCGTAATCCTGTTTATAATCCCAGTCGAACACGACGATGATGTTTTTTTTGCATTCTTCTACTTCAAGCGCCAATTTCCCAATTATTCCACCATTTTGAGCGGTTTTTACAGAGCGACTTTCCCAATTCTGGGCTACGTGATGGTCACTTGTGTCCACGAAATGGTCTACGTTGTGGAACAAATCAAATTCCAAGCGTACTTGATAATAAAAGTTTTTGAAAAAGTTACAGATGTTTTCAATGATTTGGACGAAAGTTTCTTGCTTCGAAACAGATTTTACCAAAATGAGGTCTCAAGGAGGTTCAAGTTTTGTATTAAGCGACACGTTGAGCTGTTGAGGTTAGTAATTGGTATATTTTTCACTTTCCTTATCTGTAATCGGCTGAAATTTGACCTACCTATATTTTTACATTTCTGGACGAATTATAGCCTCAAGACACCAAAAAAGTTGGTGTGTGCTTGAAATTTTAAATTTGGCTTGTAATTTACTTATAGGAAAGGGACGCAGCACGAAACATTTGGTAAAAATCGGTCGCACCGTTCAAAAAAAAAAATAATAATAATTAAGGCTCGGATTATATGCACGAAAAATTCGTAAAATATGTGCTTATATATGCACGCATTTTTACAAAAATATGCACAAAATATTAAGAAATATGCTCCAATATATGCCAAATATGATCGATATGCAAAATTTTGAACAAGAAAAAATCAAAGTTAGGATAAATTTTTATCCTCGAATACACTAAACTTTGTATTTTCGTCATCTTGAACTGCACACAATAAATGAAAGAATAAATAAATTGGTTTGGCGTGAGACAAGCCATTTTAATAACCTAGTAATTAACCCTTTCTAAAAAATCTGTACTTTTCAGATCACATCACGTTTTTTGCTTAAAGTATTTATTTTTTGAAAAAACTAATTGATGAATTATAAAGTTCTATAGAAATGTGATGTTTTATCAAAAATAAAATTTTTCAAAATTTTTATTTTTTTGTTTTTGAGTTCTACAAAAATATTTATTTTTTTAAATGGCAACTCAACAAAAAAAAAACATTTTTCTCATGAAGGTCAAGTTCTAAGGGATTACAACTATCTACTTTAAATTAAATTATTTTTTTACATATGTACATCGCAATCTAGACAACAAAAATCGAATAACTCAAAAACAAAACAAAATTTTGTTCTTAAAAAATCATTTTTTTATATTACTTTAATTTATATTAATTATTATTTTTTGGAAACAAATGATTCGAAAAAAAAACCGCTTGGTTCAATACTTTATATTCACCCAGTATAAAACGAATTTAAAAAGAAAACTCTCAGCAGGGAACTAATTTTTTGAGTTTGGCTTACGAATTACCGGTTGTTTTCTCTTTAAAATATTTTGTAATCCGATTATTTTTCTTAAACTGTCCAATTTTGAACTTGAAGTGAAGTCTTTAATCGTAAATTTGTGATTTGAAGAAAATATGCACAAATATGCAATATTTCCTAAAATATGCACAAAGTTGCCAAAATATGCATTTTTTAGCATATTTTAATCAAAAAACATTAGATATGCATAGAAAACTTACAATTTTGTTGACATACCTCTTAATGACAAATATGCATTTTGCATATAATCCGAGCCTTAATAATAATAATGGGTACCGAACTAAAAAAATTGTACCCCAGACTCGAACCCGCGACAACTTTGAGCTATTTCGCGTGTAATCCGACAGGTGGCACTAACGTAAACGTTAGGTTTGCTACTCGGATTTCCAACGTCGTAAGGATATTTTCCAAATAAGTTGGATAAGGAAAGTCGTGTGATGTTCCCACTAGATTTTTTTATTCAAAAAATGTTTTAGTATTGGAAGGACGAGTTTGAAATTTGTGGAACAGTTGATACCTGTGTTTGCCATCAACGGGATACTCTTTTTCGTGAGCACAATTATTTTCTGCTTTACTGTAAGTAAAAATTTTGGTTGATTTTTTACTAAAAGAATGACAGTTTGAAGGGACTTTGGAAGGGAGATATCCTCGTATTCTTAGTCTCGCCTTAGTTTCATTTACAACTTTTTCAGTCTTAATTTTTATCGGTCAAAGTGTTGAGAATGAGGTAAAAAAAATATTTTTCTTTTTCACAAAAAACACAAATTTTAGACAGATGTCTTAACTATTGCTAATACGTACATCAGGTGGTGTAGTTTAAGCCGTGAAAATTTGCAATATGCCGGTATCATGTCGATTATTGCCAAAAAACAGTTTGCTGTCCGATTTTCCGACAATATTATCATCAATTATGAGTTGGGATTCAAGGTTGGTAATGATTTTTGCAACTTTTTCCAATTTTATTTGAATTTCAGGTCCTCAAAATGGTGTACTCATTGCTGTGTTTCTTGATCCAATGTAAGGGAATTTCGTATTAAAAAATTTGGAGTTTTAAAATAAATATTTTACTTGTGAATTTTTACTTTATTGCTTTTCAAATAAAAACTCATGGGCGCCGACTTTTCATATTTTCAATGGGTGCATCAAAAAAAAAAAAAAAATACGCGAATAAACGATTTCTTCTTTCCTATATTTGCAGAATTTATGGTATTTAATATTTTCAAAATTTAAAAACAATATAATTTTTGTATAGTACAAAAGCAAAAATCTATGAATAACTTATGCAATAAAAAGTGTAAAGAAAATAGTACATGTTCAAAGCTTCAAGTTGTTGAGATTTGAAAAATAATACACTACTGTTAAATTAAAAAAAAAAAATCGGTAACAATTTAAAAAAAATACTTTTTTTGAAAATTTGCGTAAATCTAGTATTAAATACACCTTAGAGGTATTAATGCAATTAATTTGAGGAATTAGTCAGTATTGATTTATAATTTTTTACATTTTCAAAAATTTCAATTTTTTTTAATTATTTCAATTTTTTTAAAGTTGAACATCAAAAAAAAAGGAAAAAAATTTGTTTTTTCAAAAAATTGTAACTTGAGACTATCATTACATTCTCACTGCGGTCATTGGTCGATGATTAATTGATCAAAGACAAAAAAAACCTTTTTCATGAAAAGTCAAATATCTCAGAGACAAATCGACGTAAAGAGAACATAAAAAAGCTAAATGACCAAGCTGTAGGCCAAAAAAATAATAAAAAAAATATTTTTTTTCTCGTGCTATTTCTTAGGATTACGTAATAACCGAAGCTCAGAAAAATTTTTGCCAAAAGATTTCAAGACTAGAAACTGGAAGCTTTAAAATAGATTTTTTAAAATCAAAACACGACCATTTTTCATTGAGATATAATATTTCAAAAATCATCAAAAAAATTAAGATATTTTGTCGTTTTGAAGTTTTTTCAAGAAGTGTTTCACTAAAGAGCTTAATTTTGAAAAATGAAAAAAACAAAATAGAATAACATAAACGTTGATGATTTTAAAAATGCAACGTTACAAAAAAAAGATTAGAATAAACACGAAATTCCAGATATTATTAAGAGTTATTACTATTATTTTTTTAATCTTGTTATCAACTACCAATTTGGGCTAAAGGTTAAATTTTTCAATTTTCGGGTTTTCAAATAAATATTTTTCTTCCCTTATTTTTGTTTTATTGACTTTTAACTATGCTACTAATGGTATTCGAAACAAAAAATAATTAATCAGAATTATTGACCAAAAACATTTATAATAAATAATTAAAATGACACAATGACACAGGAAGGTGATCCTGAAAATATGGAAATATTAACASAAGTGTTTCAGACCTCATAATGGATTTTTCACCGAGACCTTTCGAAGGTAAATTTCGGTTTAAAAACAGTTAATTTAACTAAATTTTCAGTCGAC